CATCTTTTTTCTGTGGCTGTCATTTCCATTCTCAAACAACTTAACACGAGATTGCTGTCCAACAACTCTTATATTGTCAATGGACACAGAAAATAAATCAGCTTGTTTAGAGTCTGAGAAGAGGAACAACAGGGGCTTCTCAGACTGACGTTGCTTATTTTAACTGTTTGTTGTTTAACTGTGTGGTGGTGAAGCAAACACACCCTGCAGCATATCGAGGTATTGCTTCTTACATGCTCTGAGCTGCCTGGAGCCCACTGTGACTTTTGGATCATGTTATGATTGTAAATGCTGCTCATGTGGATGTGGAATGAATCAGAAACCAGAAATAATAGGAATGAGACAGAGTATGTCCAGTTTACATCTTATATATATGAGTGGCTTGTTTACATGAAACACAAGCAAAATAGGATCCACCCCCTTCGAAACCGTTAATTGGTTGTAACACAGAGACAGCAATTAAAAAAAAAAACATGGACCTTGGGTGAAGACTCATTGTCAAATTACATTTTATTTGAATAATTTACTCTTACTCTAATTTACTCTCATCCATAGTATTATTGGATGACCAGTGTTGGAAATTAAATGATTATACAAAGTATTAAACAACAGAAAATATGTGTATGTACTCAGTTGCCCACTCTTTCATATGACCTGACTGCCCAAGTCATGCGTAATAAACACATTGGTTTCTTCAGTAGTCTTCCTGTCTCTCTTTCAGTCTCTCCGGCCAATTGGACATAAATCGTAATCATGGCGGAGAGCTCCCGTCACGGGGACATTGATAAGTGGAGCATTCCCTCAAAGGGAGACCCCTGTAAGAGACTCACATTGCATGACTTCTCCCCTCACCCCAGTGTCCCAGATTCTCCCCCGTCACATTAAATGGTCGTCATTTTAACTGTCTGTCAGTGACTGGATTCATACTCACCGACTCCAGTGGACCAACTATGTCTGTATCATTAATGATCCCACGCTGCATTCTTTCCTTGAGTTTCAGAACTGGCTCCGCACTCTCTCTCAGACACATTTAATTTTCTTTTTCTTTAACAGCAAAAACCTCAGTGTCCTTCTTTCTTATCCGTGAACCTTTCACATTTTAATTTCTGGTGTCAGATTTAATAAAAGGGTTGGCAGGAGATTGTCAGGGAACATTTTCAAGTCATAAAATAGATAGAGTGGCTGCAGCAGAAATGTGATTATAGACAATGTGGTCCTCTTAACTGTTTGAAAAGCCAATTTAAATCCAACATATTGTACAGTAGTTTAGAGATGAAGAGTTTTAAAGTATCATCAGTTGATCCTGATTGATTTATTGCTTGGCTGATAAAATTATGTTTAAGAGTCGTTCATAGACATATGTCAATATCGGTGTTTA